CCCCCCCCCCACTGAGATGCTCTGCCCAATGCTGGCTGCGTGGCCAGGTGAGAGCTCCGTGGAGCCCCAGCTCAGCACTCAGGCTGTGGCCTGTGGAAAGCGCTCAGCTGATTGTTTCTGTGCGTCTAGTCCCTTTGGTTTCTCACCACCTCTCCCCCTCCCCTGCTCTCACCTCTCTCCTTCCCGACCTTTCCCTCTGCTTCCCTCTGCGATCTGGCCTTTGTCCCTCAGCCCCACACAGGTCCTGGGGGAAGCTGCTCTGGGGCTGGCTGTGTGGGCTCTCGGGGACCCCGGCGCAAGCCCTGAGCCCCGCGGAGAAGGCCGCGCTGGAGCTGAAGCTGACCAGCATCAGGGAGGAGCCGCTCTGGAGAAGCGTCTGCAACATCAATGCTGTCCTCCTGCTGGCCATCAATGTCTTCCTCTGGGGCTATTTTGCATGACTCCGGCGACCTGGCTTCAGCTGAGACACAAGACGCAACCCCAGCCTGGCTGGTCACAGGCGGGCTTTCCTCCCACCCCGCTGTCCAAACCCGAGACCAGAGAGGCTGAGGCTGCAGGAGCGCCTGCAGAGCCCCCGACCCCTGGCCCCGTCTGCACACTGACCCGTGGCGAAATGGGGGCCCAGAGACTGCGCTGGGCCTGCCCAGGGCCACACAGCAGGATCCACACTGGTCTCCTGACTCCAGCTCTCTTCCCATTACATCGCCTTCAAGTCCTACCTCAGAAATGCTGTCTTCACCTTCTTGAGGTTCGAGAGTGGAGCATGCGAGAGAAAAATAGCAGGCAGGCTGCAGAAACCCACGTGCATCCCGGCTCGCCCATGGCCCTTCCTCTCCCCCTTCTGCTTCCCTCCGTCTCTAGTCCCCTATCCCCAGCCGACAACCTCTGGCAGCATCTTCCCAGAAGGACCTTACACTTCCACTGGCAGTTCCACGTGGGGGCCGACAGACCCCCAGGAGTGAGGGGCAGTGTGGAACCTAAGCATGGGGACAGACGGGCGGGGCAGGGAGCGCTGGGGTGAGGGACTCCCCCTGCCACTGCCATCGTCTGTGTCCTCCTGCTCTCACATCCCAACACATGCAAGTCTCTGTGGCCCTGAGGAACTGGGAGCCCGGCTGGAGAGACATGACTTGTTGAGAACAACAGGCAAGGGGACAGGCTGCTCTGCGCTCAGTGTGCGACGCCCCGCGGAGGGCAGTGTGGGCGGCTGAGGAGCCTCTGCAGCGGGCCTGGGCCCCCCGCCCTTCGCCTGCCAGGAGCTGCCTACCCTGAAAACACCTCGACCCTGCTTAGCTGTCCCTCCTCCAAGAAGCTGCCCGATGCCCCCACTCCTGCTCCCACCCCGGACCTGCTTCTGTGGCAGCTCTGATCACTGTCCTGTACAGAAGTGGTTAAAGAGCAAAAGTGCCCGCAGGGCTCCCACAGAGGAGGGCTGTGATTCGTTTCAGATACCAACCCTACACATTCAGCTCCCCTTACAAATCACGTTGCGTTAGCCTCGCGCCACTGAGGCGGTGAGCTTTACCGACCAGGGACAGGAGAAAAGGAGCCCTTGGCCACTGCAGCAGGGCCCGTCCTTGCCCCACTCATGTCCCCAGCCACTCATCAGTCCTGTTTCTTGGCAACTCTCCCCTGAGGGCTTTCTCTGGCTGTAGACAAATCCTGGCGGCCTGCACAGAACAGTCTGGAAGTGCTGGGAATTCAGTGCCTCGGAGCAGCCCTCACACAGTGACAAACAGGAGTCTGTGGATGACCACCACCAGTCCCTGCCCTTCAGGAGGGACAGCTCAGACCCTTGTTCTAAACCAGCTCCAGGGGTTCTCAGAGGATTGAGCCCGGCTGCCCAGTTAACCTGCTCATGGCCACATCTCGCGGCCCCGCTCTCCTGCTGGAGTCCCCTGGGATCGCTCCCAAATAAACCATGAACTTGCACCTGGTTTCTTGTACTGCTTCTGGGGAAACCAAGTCAGAGTCTTTTACAGCTTGAAGGTGCTTGTGCCCTGGCCTAATTTTGCTATAAGTTGCTTCGTGACACCCCCCGCCCTCACGCCTCAGTTTGGGCACCCTTACTGAGGGAGTGCAGAGGTATAAGCTAGTGTCCATGAAATCTAGGAGGCCGTCGGACGCCGGCATTGCGCGCTGATTCATTCCCGCATCTGTCTCCTTGGGGCAGGGGCCGGTGGGAGGGGAGGGGGTGCAGGGAAAGCAAGCCACACGCCCGCCCACTCGAGTGGAAACAGCGCAAATAGAAAAACCGAGGAAAGCAGTTTTCAGAGAATTGAAATGGGTTTGCCACGAGCAATAATAGCATTAAGAAGTAGCTTTGGACTGTGAAGGGGCAATGTTTAAAAACAAATAGTGCTCTTAAAAATACCCCGAAGAAACGTGTTTAAAAGTGATTTGCGATTGAGCTGGGACCACAGAAGCACTCAATTTAGTGTGTGAGCCCCGTGACTGTCCCCGGGTGTGAGAGTTCACGCTGCTTAGGAGGGGTGCAACTGCTCAGAAGTCCCGGCAAAAGTGTCGGTTTCTCATTAACCCAGAACGGGTGCCTCTAGCCATCCAGCCCTAAGTGAGATGACTGTAATTTCTTCTTTTCTCCAGGGTGAAAAGTTGGGAGCACTTTAATGGTTCTATATAAGTATAAATCCTAGATACTTAAATTGAGCTAGTTACAGTTTACTTTCATATTTCAAAATCAAATCTCAGCTTTAGCCCGGACTCACACAGCAGAAAAGTCAGGTTTTTACTGGGTGGTCTTAGGTGAAATCTACAACCTTCACTTGAAGAAGAAAGAAAAGGGCCACCATCATACTTCATCCCCTGAATAGAAAACAAAAGCCCTGGCCCATCTCTCAGTATGATTTGCATGTACATTTTAGAATTATATACATTCAAAATGGGAAGGAGCCTCAGGAGTCAGCTAGTTTGCCCCTTTTCCTCCTTAGTCCAGGTCAGAATTTCTCTGAACAGCCTCCCCGGCAGGTAAGGCTACCAGCCTCTGCTTGTACACCTCCAAAGACGGGGAACTCACTACCCCCTGAGACAGAGCATCCACCATTGGACTACACTGATTAGAAAGTTCCCCTTTCTTGCCTAAACTCTGCATCCCTGCATTTCCAACCACTTGTACAAACAAACCAAACAATGTGAAAATAATTTGAATCATCTAAAGTTACATCCCCACTATTTGTGATTTATTCTGAAAGAAATAATTCACAAAACGTGGAACTCCCGTAGAAGTCCAAGTTTATCTGTGATGAGACATGCATGGAGACTATTAAAACTGATACTTTTACAAACCCTCACGATTATTTTATAAAGAGCATTTCCACATCAATTATCTCAGTTCTCAATACCACTCTAGAAGGTTAAATTATTTAGAAATGAAGGAAAGAACTCAGAGAAGTGATGTGCCCAAGGCAGCCACTCAGGAGTGGAGTTGGACCTTGAACCTAGAATTCCGACTCCACCTCAGGCCTCTCCCATCCCACGGCCCTTGTATACATACCTGTGACTGCTACTAGTTTCCAGGCACGTGGGATAAACATGCAAAAAATGTACAGACCAAGCAGAAGCCAATCTAATAAACAAAGGCCGGCAAGTAAGCAAGTTGTTGCAGTGCATTGCAATAAGGACTGAAAATAGAGGTAGAAACAAAGGACTTTGGGAAAACAAAGGAGCAACAAATTACCGGACAGAGTAAGGGAGCGCTTCACAGATACAACATTTAAGTGGGGTTGTGAAGGATGGGTAGAGATTTCTGGGTGGAAAAATGGAATGGATTGTTCCAGGCAGAAGAAAGAGCACCAAGCAAGACAAGGAGGTAAAAGGACAGGCAGGTCTGGGGCAGAGGCTCAGTGTGGTGGAAGCATCAGGTGTGTAGAAGTATGAGGCAGCTTGGAGAATTAGGCAGAGGCAACCCCAGGGACGAGAAATGCCACTGTGACCTGGGCACCACGGTGTGTCCAAGGATGGGGTCGGGTCGGGAGGGTAAGGCCAACAAATATATATCCAAGGAGTATCCTTTTTCACTGTTGTTTTTTGTATGTTTTTAAAATATATCTTTATTGATTTCAGAGAGAGAGAGAAAATCAATAAGAGAGTCATTGATCGGCTGCCTCCTGCATGCCCCCTACTGGGGATCGAGCCCACAACCCAGGCGTGTTGCAGGGGATCGAACTGACGGGGATTGAACTGCAATCTCTTGGATCACAGGTCAACGCTCAACCACTGAGCCATGCTGGCCAAACTCCAAGGAGTAACTTCCTATTTGTTTTAGAAAGATCATTCATAATGGCAACAGGAAGAGTGTAAAGGGTCAGGGGCTGCTAATGAATGGCGATTTATGAGGTGGTTGCAATATCACTGGAAAGAAATAAGAGTTTATCGACAGATGGATAAACAAAACATATGCACATACTGGAACACTATTCAGCCATAAAAAAGTATAAAAATGTTGATGTATGCTACAACAGGGGTGGGCCTGGAAATCATCGTGCTCAGAGAAATGAGCCAGACATAGAAGGGCAAACGTTTTATGATTCCACTAATGCGAGGTACCTGGAATAGACAAATTCACAGACACACAAAACAGAACAGAGGCTACGAGGGGAGGGGGAGGGGGACATGTTGTTTAATGGGTCCAGAGCTTGGGTCGGGAATGATGGGAGTTTTGGGGATGGGTAGCAGTGATGGGCACACAGTACTGTGAATGCATTTAATGCCACTGAATTGTACACTTCCCAATGGTTAAAATTATAGTTATATGTATTTTACCGCAATAAAAAGCTAAGGATTGGTGGACATATGGGAATATGCTAAAGTGAATCTAGTAAAATGATGAGTTCAGATTTGAGCACCGATGCTGAGATACCTGTGAGACGTCCCCCTGGAACGGCCCAGTGTTCTTTGTATTGTGGGTCTGGAGCTTGGTGAAGAGATCGGGGCTGTAAAACTGCCTTGTAATTCCTGCTTGGGAATCCCACCTACCTCACCTAACTAGGATTAGACCTATGTTTTTGTGTTGGGGTGATGGTATTGCCCAGAGTGTAAGTAATTTGGGGATATGAGTTACCTGAGACTTTATTTTGTGGAGAAACAGGGAAAGGGAGAGGGTGAAGCTCTCTGTGCAGTCAGGCTTCTGGGAACTGGTTTGGGTCCCAGGAGAACTTGGAGTGGGGAGAAGTGAGGAGAGAGGACCTGTCCCAGCTCCGGGCAGTCCTGTGGAAGCAGCCCTCGGCTGTCAGCCTCAGCTGCACAGCCACCTTGCCCAAGGTCTCACCCCTGCAAGGGAAGCCCATATCCAATGCCTGTAAGTATAAAACGAGGCCATTTCAGCCTAAGGTGAGACAGCTCGGGTGGGCCATTTTAGCTCCAGAGGCCCCCGAGGGGTTGGCCAAGGCTGCGATCAGGCTGCCTCATCTCCTTCCTCCCACTGATATGGATCCAGGGCCTCCC